TGTCTACTAAGATCGTCAACAGACAATAGAAAAATTATGGAATTACTTGATGTTTTTTAATGTTGCCTCGTTGTGTTATAGAGGACTAAACAGATATTGTACATATCCCATGAACCCCAAGCTTTTCCTGATTCACCCTCGAGTCTTTTTTGGTCTTCCTCAAATACTGGAAATTCTCCGTCTTTGTATCATAAACGCCAAACACAACGGCTCCTCTCCCTCAGCGTGAACCGCACCGTGCGTCCCAAGTGTGTTCCTCACCACTGTCTAAGACCCCCACATTCCTTCATGCCGGGACAAGAGTTCTTTTATTATCACCAACAATTTATGTAGAAACTTTTGCAATTTTCCAGACGCCTGTGTCGAGGCAAACGGCCATTACCTCCATTCTCTTGTCTTCTAACTTCCTCACAGATGACTGGCCTTCCTCCTTCCTACCTAGTCTGCCTCCACTTAGCCACTCCTACCATACTGAATTCGATCTCTTATAATTTCTAATTGTTGATGGACTAGTGTAAATACTACCCATGTTACGCATTTAAAGACCTTTGCTGTTAAATCGTAGTAATCAAAATTTAACGTCAACATGAACGACCTTCTATATACACCATCAGTTGTGATAAGCGTGTGGAAACGGCAAATTAATGCTCACTATACGCACATGCCTAGTGATGGCATTATTGCAGTTCATTCTATAGGTGATGCAATGCACAAGAATACGTTATTGCTCAATGATGAATGATACAGGTGTAAACATCAGCTACAGGTGGCAAATAAGAAATGTAAATTGTACAGTTAAAGGCTGATGACTGCATTAGCAAAATACTGTTCTCAAATCTTATCACCTAGCATATTATATGGATGTTCCACTGTTGCCATCTGGGTTAGGTAACGGGTTAGCAGTGTTATGCAGGCCGTGGCAAATATACCACATTCATTAGCAGCAAGCTGAACATCAATTCTACAACAACAATAATACACCTATAATTGAAACTGAGAGAGAGTATATCATACTGGACAACTGTTATGGGTCTCGTATAACACCATGAACTTATTACATTACTGTTTCATGTGTTACTTAGGTGTTGCTGTTGTTTTGAGCTGCTCTTCTGGGTTTATAACTAATATGTCCTCGAGTGATGGCTTCCTTCTCACTCACGCTTTGTACATTATTGCTCACGTGGAAACAATTCAGTCTAGGTCTTCTAACTTTCCCAGTCAGTTCTACAGCCTCGATGACATCGTATCAGTGACTTGCCAATTACATTGTAAAAATTGTAGGGTGTAATTTTTTTTAGGTGAAAGGGGTACATTTACTGCAAACTACCTCTTGATATATAAAATAAAATAAAATCGGACTTGTTAGGGTATATTGCTGTCGAAAATACCTGTAAGTTGCAATTGGTTTTACATTATCACCTGAGGATATTTTTTATTTTTATCTCAAGATATCCTCAATTGATTCTTTGTGAACTGCTTGGAATATAACACTGAGTGTATACTGAGACATCAATCACCACAAATTTAACTTTAAATGACCTAAACAGCAGTTTATTAGAATACAATTAGTTCTATTGCAACTTATGGCATACAACATCATTAAAGTTTTCACCAAGAGTTTTGACGACAACACACACTGCTTCTCTTAATTTATTTTGTAAATTAATGAACTGAAAAAGTTAATTTGAATTGAAAATGTTTCTGATTAATTACATGTGCTACTTGGATCATCTTAGCAGAATATAATCATGAAGATGTGTGATGAAGAAAAGATGGAAATGATTATGATATTATTATTTTAATGTCTTAACATGTAACATCCAATATAAATGATCATGTTTAGCCTAAGTACCTCTACTGTACACCTGGACATGGGGAGGAGGGGAGAAAATTAAATAAGAAAGGAAAGAAAGAAATGTGGGATCAGGGAAGATATTTAAAACATCCTCAGTTCGAATATGCCAAGCAAGCCAATGGGCGCCGGGCTACACAGGCAATCAGTGTCACGCTGAGCAGCACTGATCTCGCCATGGAATCTAATTCTCTGTCCGGTTGGTAAGCAAAGATGATGACTGCATTTGTAGCTATTTTTGTGTAATAAAAGGAGAATATTTTAAGTGACAATGAGTTTGTTAGAGAGTGACAGTGTTGGTGAAGTGCGTGGGGGTGCTAGAAAGTGAAGTATAATACCGTAAGTGTGCACCAACGGTCAGGAGTCTCACACTCCTAGCACTGTGACACTCGGTTATATACGGTGATGTCACCTATAGTGTTTGTGGTACTGCTTTTTTACAGTGTCCGCAGTATAATGGAAAGACGCGTGTACGCACAAAAGGTGAGGAAGATAATGCGGAGTTATTTTCATTGGGTTTCTCTTCACCTTAATAATCTCTTTTTCAATCTAAGGGTTTTAAATGTATTGATGTTTATATACCCTTTTGTAGAGTAAGGTTTTAGAGAATTATATAACCTTTCTATCGATTCAGTAAGGGTTTATTGGTATTCATATACCCTTAAAAATTTGCCATCAAGGTTAATAATTTGTTTTTATTTTTTACTGTGTAGATGAGTCTTTATTTTAAGTGATCCGCTTAATACTTGAGATGAAGAGAGTGTATGAGGGAGCTGACAACCCAAAGACAAGTTGTCACAATAGTGTAATCATTCGTAATGGCCCAGGCCACAGAATACATGATAGTACCATATACAGTATGTCTGACGTGTTTCATTTCACGTGATAACCTTGCTTTTTCTGACTACCTCTTTGACTTGTTGAACCCCTTGTACCAGTACCTAAGGTAGGACAAGGATTAGGTCACCTTTAGCGCTTCGTCACTGGTTACCATATATGTTAAATCCGTCGGCCGAATAACATTTAACAGGAAATTGAAAACAAAACTTGGTAAAGTTGAAAATTTCTAAAATTGGGATGAACTTGGGTAGCGTTCCATTAAAAGAATGTTGTAACCTTTTTCCTCAACACAGTCTCGAAAAGAACGAAAAAAGGTGTTACAAACATGTAATATGAGACCTTGAGTGAATCTCTGAAGAACTAAAATATGTGCCATTAAAAAGAAAAAAAAACGATTCAGTAGAGGCAAAAAATACGCTCTCCCAGAAAGCCAAAAAATATAAATCGTTATTTTTCCTCCCTGAAAAGATTAAGAAAAAATTATAAATAAATATAAAAAGAAAAAAAATGCGCCCCACATACGAGAGAAGGAAAATATTCTAGACGTAGAGAGAAAAGTTTACACCGAGAATTCCCTGCCAGTATAAAACACACAGAAAAAAGTGTGCCTTTAGTCAGAAACCTAAGAAGTACCCTTTACAGAGAGAAAGTCAGCATTATCAGGCTATAACTATATACCAAAATATTTTTTATATATTTCTGCATTCTTAGTTACAATAATAAAGTGCCTCTTGCTGAAATCGAAAGACAACAACAAAACACGAATAAAATGTTTCCTTGTACCCGTGTATTAAAAATTCAATGACATCAAGTTTTTAACATTACTCTCCCCAGCGTGAAACTCGACCCAATGTTTCTTTCTTCTCTCCCTCTTAAGGTGTTGTCGCCCCCGTGTTGATCTCGCTCCACCCACCCTCGTCTGGCCAAGGTCCTCCACATCCCTTCTTCTCGGACCAAGAATTCTCCCTTATCATCACTAACAATTTATAGAAGAAGTTCACTAGTTTCCCAGCAATCTTTGTTGGGGTTTACGGCAATTATTTCCCCTTTTCTGCTTCCCTACTTCCTCCGTACCCTCCCATGGTAATTACCTGCCATTCTACCTCACCTCCTCTTCTCCAATTTGCTTCCCTTTCATCTAACTCAACTTCTCCTCCCTCAACTCACCCTCCATTCCCGAACTTAACTCCCCCTCCCTAAACTCATCTCTTCATCCTCACTCAGTTCTCTTTTTTCCCAACTCACCTCCCCTTCTCTATACCCTCACCTCCCCTTCTCCATCCCCTCACCTCCCCTTCTCCATCCCCTCACCTCCTCTTCTCCATCCCCCCTCTTCTCCATCCCCACACCTCATCTTCTCCATCCTGCTTCTCCTTCCCCATCTCGTCTTCATCCTGTTATCGACTACCTGTCATCAGCGCCTCGGTCACACACCTGGAGGCCGCGAGTCCTTCACCGTCCGTGACTCTGACTTACATTAATGCTGGTGAACCTATCGGGATGACGTCAATAACTATAGGATCAACGAATAACTAAGCAGGAAAAATATATTTTTGAATAAAATAACACAAAAGTGAAATTTACCACACACACACACACACACACACACACAAACACACACACACACACACCACCATCACTACCATCATCATCACTACCACCATCACCACGCATCTTAACTACCACCATCATCACTACCACCATCACCACACATCTTAACTACCACCACCATCACTACCACCATCACCACACATCTTAACTACCACCACACATCTTAACTACCACACATCTTAACTACCACCACCATCACTACCACCATCATCACTACCACCATCACCACACATCTTAACTACCACCACACATCTTAACTACCACCACCATCACTACCACCATCATCACTACCACCATCACCATGCATCTTAACTACCACCATCATCACTACCACCATCACCACGCATCTTAACTACCACCATCATCACTACCACCATCATCACTACTACCATCACACATCTTAACTACCACCACCATCACTACCACCATCACCACACATCTTAACTACCACCATCATCACTACCACCATCACTACCACCACCATCACTACATCCACCACCACACACCTGAACTACCACCATCACCACCACTAAACAACTACCACCATCACTATAATAACTACACTACACCACACTACACAATATTCCAACTCTACTACACTACACTGCACCACACAATATTCCACCTCTTACTACATTATTCTCGGCTCAGATCTCTTAAGGCTGAACGCTAGTAAGTGCTCGGGACTTTGTTAATTATGGATGCTCTTGATATCTTCGAATATACTGTGTCCATCAGTTACAGCAGCGACCTTGACCTCAGCAGTAGCAGTTCCCAAGACTCTCCAGCAGTTAAGATGAATGACAGTCACCTTCCTCGAGTCAGTTATAACGACATCACGAACCAGAGAGTGTTAGGATGGGGAGCGTACGGCATAGCCCATCTTGTGAGTCTCAAGCTGGCCAATGGAGGGGTAGTCCCGGCCGTCGCCAAGACCTCCCTCAAGGGCCAGTCTCTCATGGCCGAGGCCCTGGCTCTCTACCATCTTAATGGGGCTGGTGGTGCCCCTGTCCTTTATGGCGTCACCAGTGAAGACCCTCAGGCATTGGTTATGGAGTACTGTAGCGGCGTCACAGTTGACGAATTTTTAGAGTCACATTCTACAGAAGAGTGCCTCGAGGCCTTCACCTCCATGAGTGAGGCACTCGATCAGCTCCACGCCAAGGGTTACGCTCACCGGGACCTACACGAATAGAACATTATAATCGACGCCTCCTGCCGTCCATATACCGCACACATAATAGACCTCGGGTTCGCTAAAAGACTCAAGAATGATGGACGCGACAGTGACCAACGCAATAAGAGATATGACAGGAACTGCCTCAGCTACATCCTCAAGGTCATTGAAGAAGGGAGCTGGGTAATCGCCTTAACGTTACACCTACACTGTATAAACACCTTAGTGCTTTTACCATGGGTCATCTACATAACACTATGCTGATATACTGTAGTCCACTTATATCGCCACAACACTGTCTTCCTGGACTCTGCCATTGGGATCAGCGTCAACAATTCTGCTCCCAACTATACCGCCCTTCAGGATTTATTGAACAGTCTCCAAAACTGGGCCACCAACAACCATGTCACCATCAACCATACCAAGACCATGGTTATGCACATCAACCTCTCCTCCGACATTGTCCCACCTCCTTCCATTACTCTAGGTCCGAACACACTCCAGGTTCTAGATTCCACGAAGCTCCTCGGCGTCACCATAGACAACAAACTAAATTGGAAACCACACGTCACTGAAGTTGTCAAATCCTCCAGTTTCCTTCTCCACCTCCTCCGCCGACTCAAGTCCCTCGGAGTTCCTGCACACGAGCTCCTCAGTGTTTACACAACATTCATACTTCCCAAGCTCACCTATGCCTCCCCCACCTGGTCTTCCTCCCTAAATGCCACACAACGTAAACACCTAGAAAAAGTGCAAAAGAGGGCATGCAAGATTATTCTCTCCCCTTCCTACTCCACATATCAAGAAGCGCTGAACACACTGACCCTTTCGACTCTCACTGACCATCACCACGACCTCATCTGCAAATTTGGTAAGAAGGTTCTACACCATCCCCGACACCGGCTCCTACTACCACCTGAGATCCCTTGTCCGTGAATTGCTGTTCGACACCACAACCGCATCCAGCCCATACGTGCACGAACTGATCGCTATAAGAACAGCCCAGTCCCAACCATTGTAAAAATTATCAATAACTTGTAATAAATCAGTGTATTCACTCCCAGTAAACACTGCTCCTTACACTGTCACTATGTTGAAATGAACTGTAGTTTGAGCTTTTCCACATCTAGTTATTATATGTCTTATTTGTGTCACTTATGTTACTTGTATATTATTTGTAATTCGTAACCCATTCCCCAAATATGTAACTGTATATTTTCAGCCTTCTGGCTGCCAAGCTCTTTCAATAAACCGTTAATTATTATTATTATTATTATTATTATTATTACACACACACACACACACACACACACACATATTGACGAGGTACAGTACGTACTTGGTAACGCCAGCGAGTGAAGCCGAAAATCATTATATAAACTAGACTACATATTTCGTATATAACGGTGATCGAGAAATGGTGAGGAGGCTCATCAATCCAGGCTAGTTATAAAGCTCTCTCAGAGTGTGGATGAGTGTGGTATTTATAGTGATTATAATCGCAGGGTACAAGAGAGTGACGTGGCAACTGGGTCCCAGTTACACAGTATTACTAGTGTCAAGTTGCTGTGCCAATGTGTAAACTTTGGTGCTTAATTTGATGCACAAAACTCTAATATCACTCTCCATGTTCAGAACATCTCTCTTATTAGACTCGGCTCCCTTTACTAACTCTGACACTGAAAGGACTAAAATTGCTTCAACACTCCAAACTTTTTTCCACACACAGTAGGAAAAATATTTTACTGTTCACTAGTAAGAAAACTGTTACAACGTTACCTTCGTGTGTTTGTCAAAGAGAATTTAGAGAGGAAATATTTTCAGACTCTGGCGTAATATCGTAAGAAACCTGAAATCCTTTAGGGAAGACAAGTAACAGTATGGGCCCTGAGACTGGGTTTGACCAAGATGAAGTCTGACAAATATCTAAACAAAACCATCGGGATGAACCAGATTCATTCCTTTATATTATCAACAGCGTTTATCAGGGTAAAATAACCTTCGTTCTCAATATTCCTTCATTCCGGCACGAGAGTTTCCTCCGATCATTACCAACATTTTAACCAGAAACTTTAGCAATTTCCCAAACATCTGTGTCAAGGCAAACGACCATTATCTTCATCCCCAGTCCCTCATTCCCCCTCACCCAGTCTGCTGGTCTCCTCTTGTGACCTGTCTCACCTTACCACACCATAAGCCTCCTCCTCTACAGTATTCTCTCTTATCTTATCATCCACCACGAAATCTTAGTAATGGAGTTAGAAGGAGGCTGAAGACGGGGCTATGACCAGGCCTGAAGTTCTCCACACACAGCTACTACCAAGTTCATCATCTGGCCATAAATATTTGAGAAATTTGGAAGATAATAAAATGTATCTCCAAAATTACAAAAAGGTGAAGAGTACAGACGAAATAGATCAGTTCAACAGTTAAGTACAACAACAACCACAAATAATATGGATGATGGACAAATAGGACTATAACACGAGTTATAGTTAAGCTGCTATTGTTAACTTCGTCTGATGGTTACTGCAAGGGGAACACTGTTAGCTGCCCTTAGCAGTCAGTTACTGTACGGTATTAAGTGATTGTGACAATATCGAATTAGTTGAAATAAAGAATAGCTACTATATGTATATCCACTCACGTACACGACACAAATATATATCCAGTTCAATCGTATTTCCACGTGACGCCCAACACTAGGGGTCTCTCGTGTCGGTCACTTGGGTCACATGTAAACACTATATATTTAACTACAGCCATTCCCTCCCCGCAGGATACTGACATGACAAGTGCATCTCCAGTGTTTGTCTGATAATTAAAACATTATCTGTTGACCCCCCGGACTTGCCTGTATATCAGGTCAGAGCTGTGACCACAACATCACCGACCAGGTTTTCTGAATATCAAAAAATTTGTTTAGCAAGAACCAAGAAAGTGAAGCTGTGACCTAAATTAACTTCACCAGAAAAACAAAATAAATTCCACCAAACAAAGTGCGCATCAGCACTTACGGGAGTGTAACGAGGCAATTTTATTAAAAGCAGAAATGTAGAAATAATTTTTTTTAACCTTCCAGTCCAACCGATTGAAGAATATAAATAGCCGCTGGACATTTCTGAAAACTTCTGAAACTTTGGGAAAACAGCGGATATTGTTCACCTTAAAAATAACAACAATGCTGGGACAGCAGCACCCTTATCCACTACCTCCTAAGATGTCCCCACACACAACGCTTCCGTGACGCCTGCTGGACCACCACTCCACGACCCCCTGACGGAGACACGATGATCCTCCCCATACTGGCCAGATATTTTGTAAATAATATTGATTATGTGTTAAAGGAATATCCTTCCTTCCTTAGGCTTTAGTAAGCCCCTTTATAATATTTATACTGTATATACTTGTCACACTTGCCAGATCCTTCTGGTGTCATTGTACAGGGGTACCTAGTGACAGCACTAGGATCCCGCTTCCTCTATCAAGGAATAAACAATTGAAATTGAATTGAACATTGCTGGACCGCTCTTTCTCGTTCAGAGGCCGTCGGTGATGTACAGTCATTAAAGAATCCCATGACAAGTCAACCAAACGCACTGCCTTGAACTCCACTGACTGCTCCAGCCTTCAGTCGTGCTAATTTTGAAATTGAATTTGCGTAACTAAATGGGTGGAGTTGTATCACGAGGGCCTGTAATCCCAGTATCAACCCACAATTTTACATCCAGTATTTATAAACTTTCATCTTATGCAGTATGACATATATATTAGCTTAGTAACAGAATGGAAAGACACAAATGAATATAAAATTTTTAGAGACAAAATAAATTAAGCAAGAAAATAAAATTTGGACTCATATGAGATAACCAATTTTCGCTATATTACTCTCGAGATTATTGATGAAAGATATATAAGAGTAAATAACAGTAGATAACAGATATATAACAGAGTAACACTTGATCCTTCCTGTCTGTCCCTGGGTTGTGATAACAGTTTATATACGTCTCTCCTTGGATGAATTTTGTGAAAATAAATTTCTTGAGAATGAACTGTTAATCATACAAGCAAGTTCTAACAGGGCGGAACAACCTTGGTTCACCTGTGTTAATATTCCAAATTCTGTGAAAACTACAATTAATTTCTCAGATATTTCTACACGAACACCTGATATAATGAAAGAACACATTGGATTCATTGCATCACAACCCTGGCGACTCATTAACCAACATCAGATTTTATAAAGATCAATGTAATGTTATTTTGAACATTTGATAATACGTAAATATTTAGTTAGATTATAATATTGAACTAAATGGGAGACCAAACATTCTTTAGTATGTAGGCCACATCTTCATCTCTCTACATTACATACAATGGTGATGTCTCCACAGGTTGTATGGCCAGTACATCTGACGGCAAATAAAACAGATAAGAAATTAACGATATAATTAAGAATAAAATTATATTTATACGTAAATGTGAACTGAACCTGAATTATTTATCTTCGTGAATTCATCTCATGTGCAGCGATATGAATAATGAATGAATGAATAAATAAGAATAAGATCTGACGAAATTATCCAGGAATTATTCACTTCTTATCTGAAGAAGAAGTTGTTGTCAAGAATCCATATAGAAAAGTGTACAATCATTTATACAGGTAAGTTTTGAGTGATAGACTGAAATACAAGGTGTGACATTTGACCTCGTGTCCTTTACTTGTGAACAACCTCGACCGAGCGTGGGGACTTCCAGACAGACCCGCAAAGCTGGGTCATTCATTATTAGCCTTGTGACCTTGACCTCCCAGACGCAACCATCAGACATAGGAAGCTTCTGGCGTGGCGCTCAAGAATATAATTGGGAAATATCACTGTTATCACCACTGTTTATATCACTGTTGTCATCACTGTCGTCACCACTATTTACATCACAGTTGTCAATACTCACTAACAATTCAATAATTTTGTTGAAATCACATCACAAGTAATGGAATACAAGAGATCCCTGGTAGA